AAGAAAATAGGTGTCATGAGCATGGAAAGCCAAGCCAGGAGCTTCGGAGGAGCCTGCCAAGCTCCAGGTTTGTTTGGTGTACGTGTGCCCACCCCTGACAGCCCCTGCAGCCTGCTCGCCTGCCTTGGTGCGGGTCTGATTGAGCTGGGAAGCTGATCTGCGGCCACAGCGCGGGTGCCGGTGTTCGCTCCCATGGGAGAAGGGCAGGGAGGGGAACCGGTGCCTGTGAAATGGGGCACTGACCCCAGAACATACCGGTGAGGATTCCTGGATAGCTGAGCTGTACTGTCACGTACCGAACACACACAGATCGTTACCAGCAACGATGGAACAGGGTTAAAGCGCACGGCTGGTCACAGGTCCCGCAGTGACTCCACTGCTCAAACCCGAAGCTCGCCCATCGTCTCATTTCTGGCCATGCCTTGGGTCGCAGCCCCGGCTCTAGCACCAGGAGAAGCGTGTGCCGTCCGGGCAGCCCGGGGATGGGGACACGGATGGGGACACAGCGGTGGCACGCTCCCCTCTCCAGGGGGAGGGATAAACAGGTTTAATTTGGCACAGCCCTGCCTTAAATGCAAACACAGATTCATTTCATGTGAAGGAATCAGGAAAAGGAAATAAAAAACCTCAAACAACATTAAAGCTGCCACTGGGAAATAAAGGAAACTTCAATTTCCTTCCAAGAGATACAAACACACTTCACTGAAGTGTGAATACCCCGAGCTCTAGGATATCACAAATGAGGTATTCTGTATTCGAGCTGCCCCACCTGGATATTTAACACAAAATTGATTCTCATTGCCTGCCGTCACAGGTCTGAGCCTGAAAGCCGGGATCAGCCGGGCTCAGACCTTTGACTCCCACTGACCTTCCATGGGGGTGTTGTTGTCGGGGCGGTTGGCGAAGACGACGTCCACGTACTCCAGCTGCAGCCGCTGCAGAGACGCCTTCAGCCCTGGGAACACAGGCAAGGACCTGTCAGAGAGGGGCAGGATGCGGTGGCACGGAGCCGATGGGTACGAAACCATACGGCGAAAACCAGAGCTCCTTATATTTCTGTATGTATACATATATTTATATGCCTATACTATATACACAGTTGTATCACGCACGGGCAGGATGCACCACGCACAGATGTTGTCCCACATCTGCGCAGCCAGATTAACAAACCACCAGTTTCCCCACATGCAGAGCTCCCCCTTCCACTAGAATGTATTTTATTTTTTAATCAGGCTGAGATCTGGATCAGAACTGACACCGGGTACCAAGTCACCTCCATCCCATCCCACCCGGCTTCTCCAGGGGGAGCTGCTGGGATATGGATTCAAAGCCTACATACATATATATATATGTGTGTGTATATATATATGTGTGTGTGTGTATATATATGTGCATGAGAGAGAGAAGAGGATTGCTAACACTTATTTTCCACCAATCTTCCCAGGAACAAAATGTTTTGATGAATGTTCTTGAAGAACAAGCCAAAATAGAGCAGTCTGAAAGAGTTAGCTGGATTTTAGGGTGGGAAAAAAATGGTCATTTTTGCCAAATGTATTTATAGAAAATAGCTAACACTGACCTTAACGTTATTTGCTGTTTTCTGTGAAGTTATTTCAACTCCTGCTGGTATTTTTCTATCATTTCATGGAGTAGCTCCACAAGAAATGGAGGACGAGGCTCTGGGCAACCTGGGCTGGTGGGAGGTGTCCCTGCCCATGGCAGGGGGTGGCACTGGATGGGCTTTAAGGTCCCTTCCAGCCCAAAGCACCCTGTGATTCTGTGATAAGAAATGGCAGGTGGATGGGTTTGGATGGCCTGTGGCATGGTTGCAACTTCCCTGAGCACCTCTGGGTCTAGTGCCACCAGGACACCCCCTCCTGGGGGGTTACCCAAGGGAAAAGTCAACAAAATGTTGCTGAAAAACTTTCTCCAGCATTACCTTAACAAGGAGCTCATACCCTAACGTGGCTGGATTCTGCAAATACCAAATAACAAAAGCTTCCCAGGCCAACCCCAGGCGTTCGAGCTGGTTCCCACGCCACGGCCAGACCCCCGCCCCGTGCCCCGCGTACCTTCGATGATGTGTTTTCTCGAAAGCCCTCTTTCCGTCTCAGCCCTGCAGAGGAAGAACAGGTACCCAGCGGTTAGAGAGCCAAGGCTGATGATCGGGAAGCACTAATTTTGTGTTCTGCTTTAAACATCCCCAAAATGATGTTACAGCTCATACAGCAGAGACACCCCGAACCCCATTTGGATTCCAGGTCCCAAAGGCAGCAGCAGCTGGGATAAGTGGTTAATTTATGTTCATTTATCGTGGGCACAGCCCTGCTCTGGGTATGGCCTGACTGCAAAGCTGCTGTCCGATAGGGCGAGGGGGAACGGTTTGAAGCTGGAAGAGGGGAGATGGAGATGAGATGTGAGGAAGAAATGTTTTCCTGTGCGGGGGGTGAGGCAGTGGCCCAGGGTGCCCAGAGAAGCTGTGGATGCCCCATCCCTGGAGGGGTTCAAGGCCAGGCTGGATGAGGCTTTGGGCAACCTGGGCTAGTGGGAGGTGTCCCTGCCCATGGCAGGGGTGGCACTGGGTGGGCTTTGACGTCCCTTCCCACCCAAACCACTCCGTGATGCTCTGATTTCCAAGCAGAGGGGTATGGATTCTGGCAGGGCAGCGTGAGGATGGGGCCGTCACCCTCCCAGAGAAAGAGAATGGCAGCAACAAACCCCCGGTTGCACGGCTGGGAAAGGGAAAGCCCGCGGCAGCAAACACCGTCACGAGTAACCAGGAGACTTACTTTCCACCCCAGTACAGTTTTGTGGTTATGACCAGACTGGACCTCCTGCAAACAGAACAGAAACATTATCATTCAAAAAAAAAAAAAAGGCAAACAAACCCAACAAGACCCCCAAGCTAAAGCTAATTCAGGTGAATTGACAAAATAAAAAAAAATTAAATATAGAGTAAGGAATCTCCAGAGCCCTTAACCAAGGGCCACAGCGCTATTCCCTCCTGGTACCCACATCCAGCGCTGCTCATTACCAGCGGTATTCCCAGAGTCATTAAACCTCCAAGAGCGATGCAGTCACTGAATTAACCTATAAATTCTCACATGATATTAAATCAAAGATTTATCATTCACAAACTGCCTTGCTGCATAGCTGGACGTGTACAACGCAATTTCCCCAGCTTCTGCCACACTGAACTGGTTTGGGTTTTTTTTTCCTCCCCAGTATCCAGAATATTTCTTACTGAATATTCACCCCCCACCACAGGGGATGCTGATTTTGGACAGAGCCCGTTCTTCAGTTGAAGGCTGGATATGACACACACGGGAGGTCTTCATAAAGATTATGTAAATGCTCTTAAAACCACCCAACACGTGCTAATGGGCATCAGTTAGACAAGGTGTCAGCTCCTGCCAGGCTGCCCAGGATGAATCCCATCACAGCTCTGCATCCTCAATGCGCAGCCCTACGTACGCAGATAAGGATGCTGATGGGCACATCATCCGTCCTGAGAAACCACCTGTCTGGATACCCCATGCGTGGCAGCGGTGGTGGACGCGCTCAGAAGTTGTGCTAACTGCACAGAGATGGTGGTCCCGTGCCACCGCCGGGGCAGCACCACAGGCTGGGGGTCCGAGCCTTTGGGAAGCGCTATACCCAAAAAATCCAGGAAAGTAGGGATTTTTGGCTCTTGAAAGGTCTGGCTGCCGCAGGAGCGTGGGCTGGCTGCTCTGGGCGTAGCCCTCGCACGTGCAGGCGCCCGCTCCAGGGCCAGCATCACTGACCATCCATCATTCTTAAAACCAAAAAGGATTCCCATCTGCCCGAGGGGCCCCAGGGGAGCCCCGTCGGGGGGTACGGTACCTCCAGCCCTTCTTCTTCAGGATGTTTCCCAGGATGACCTCAGCCCTGCGCGAGAGAGAGACGGGGGAGCACCGGTGAGGGAGGCGGGAGGATGCTCGGTGCCGGGTACCCCGTCCTGGCTGCCAGCACCCTGGGACCCTGCGCCACTCCCAGCCAGGCAGCCTCCCCTCCCCATGTGACAGTGACACACTGGTCCCCTGCATCAACACAAAGCATCTCGTCCATCTGCTCCCAGAGGGATGGACCCATGCCCCTACGTGCCCCTGCTCTGGGGAGGCAGGGCCGCTTCATCCCCGTGCCAGGGAGGTGACATCCCCATCCACCTTTTACATGATAAAGTCATATGAATCAGCCAAAGTCAAATATATTATGGAGAGATTTTTTTTCTCCCCCCAATCCTGCAGCGACACTAAGAGCATTAGTTCCGCTGCAGCAGAGCGGGTCCCACGCCAGGAGCTGTCACCAGCACAGGCCACTTGTCACCGCAAAGATACACCCTGACTTTTCATTTATTCAGGTGGCACGAGTGACACATTCCACTCTTCAGCTGGGGGAAAGGGGTTTGGTTTGGGGCTTTTTTTGTTTGTTTGTTTTGCGGGTTTTTTTTTATTTTGAGGGGTTTTTTTTGTTTGTGTGTTTTTTTGGGTTTTTTTTGTTAAGAGTGCTCCAAAAAGAAAGGTTTCTCTGTGCCCCCCCAAGGGAGAAGGGGGATGCCCAGGCACCCCAGAGCCCCACCCATGGCAAGGGACCCCAGGAGGAGCAGCACCAGTCACAGGGACCCCAGGGAAGGGCAGCAGGACGCGGGACACTCACTTGCCGGCCGCGTAGACCTCGGCTGTGTCGAAGAGGTTGACGCCGCTCTCGTAGGCGATGGTCATCAGCTGCTCGGCCACCTCGGGGAAGCAGAGACGCAGAGGTGAGGGGTGCAGCGGGGAACAGCTCCCGAACCAGCAGCGAAGGGGGTTCGGCAGGGCTGGGAGGGGGGTTGGCATCCCCCACCCGGGGGGTGAGGACCCCCAGCAGGGCAGCCAGGGGCTCATGTGTCCAAAAAGCCCCAAAACAGGGATTGACATCAGCTTGCCTTCAACTCATCCCAGGAGGAATTTATCTCTGCTCATAGGGACTCCTGGGCTTCTAACAGGAAAGCAGCCAAGGATATAATAAGGTTGTAGGAGATACGCTGCAAAGCCGTGAGTTTCATACAGAATGGATATTTCCATGGTAAGAGGTTTGTTGTTTTTTTTTCTGGCAACCTGACAGGCTGTCCTGCAGCTCTCCATAAAGAAGAGCAGGAGAGCCAGGCAGAAAATTCTGAACCAAAACAGGTCATCCTGCCTCAGCCGGCGAAACCAAGAGATGGGAACGAACCCGGTGACCCGCTGCCAGAAGAAATGCCACCAAAGATCAAGTGACTTAAAAAGCAAAAAATAAAACCCCCTTGAGTTCAGCCTCCTGGGCTGTTTTCCTTCTGCAAAAGTTATTTTGGGGTTTCTGGCACAGGAGCAGAGGGAAGGCAGCCGGGAGGTCACTCCTGTTGCGATGCTGAGCATCCGCAGCATCCCTGAGACTGGGGAGGGTCATTCACCGAGACCAAGAGCCATGTGGCACAGACAGGAGCGTGGAGGAAACCCAAGCTCGTTTTCATTTGTTTCATATTATTTTTATAAAAAAAAATAATCAGGCAACTCCTGGTAAGCCAAGATCTTGCCGGTATTTGTGGCTGTTGCCGATGACATCCATGATGCACAAACAGGTGCCAACTCCCGCGCCAGGAGCAGCGCTGCTGCCAATGGTAAGGGGGAAATATCGCTCCAAATGGCATCACTTGAAGGGATAGACGGGGATTTTGTCAGAGCTAATCACTAATGTCAGATTCATTAGGGTTTGTTGTGGCAGAAGCCTGAGGTTTGTATCGCTGTACATAGCTGCTCTCTGCCATTGCCTCTGGTTTCGGTAGCCATGGTTTCATTTAAAAATATCTCGAACTGGTTTTTATTCCATGCTTTATACTCACACCGAGCATCACTTACTTCATCTGAGATCTGACCTCCAAAAGTGACCCATGTCCCTAGAAAGAACAAAACAACCCATTACTGTGAGAGGTTTTCGATGAGAAAAAACTCACTCTACCAAAATTCAGGCTCCCTGGGATTAAACGGGTTTAAAAAGGGGTTAACTGGTGCAGAGGCTGCTGGGTCCCCAGCAGGGCAGGGGCCAGAGCCCCTCTCTGGGGGTCACAGCGGGGCTGGGGGCTTGGGGCTGGCCCATGGACCCGCCCAGGGAAGAGCCAGGACAAGCCGGCACTGCTGAAATATTTTTTACCAAAATCGTAAGCTCTTCGCAAATCTGAGTTCATTTTCCAAAGCTTCAATTTGACAAATCGGAAAAAATTTACGATGCCGCCGAAACATGTCATTTGGGAAATTAAACTCTTCCCAGATCTGTGCTTCAGCATCTAGCATCATACAAGGCAGAATTATTAAAAAAAAAAAAAAATTTCTCTTGATGTGAAGCATTTAAACCCATCCAAAGTGACTTTTCCCCAGGAACATTCCCATGAAGCCGATGTCTGACACCAGCGCAGTCGACAAGCGGCGCTTTCCCCAGCTGGCTCCGAGAGTCGCTGCGGCTCAGGCTCAGGAGCAGACTCTGCTCTGTTACTGGGAAAAACTTGGGGCATCATTTCTTTATGACCACTGCTTCAAAAAAAAAACCTGCGGTGGAAACAGTGTGTGGACTTAACCGGATATCCTAAGATGTAGGAATATTATTTCTTATATATATATATGTTTATGTACAATAGGAACACATATTTCCTAGGCTACTGGAAGGAAGAGATGGGAGGGAGCTGGGGAAGCGCTGGGTCTGGACGGGACACCCATCAGAGGTACATCCTCACCCCGGCAGCATCGCTCCTGCCCCGAGTACCTGACCCCACAGAACACCCCGTGGAGAAAGCTGCCAAGGGACAGAAGAGGCGGATGTGACACGACCGGTGCCTTTGGCCAGCTCGTCCCTGGGACCCGCCGCACAACTGTCCAACCCCCTTTTCAAGCCCCACACACCAGCCATGTACAAAATGACATGTCACTCATTTAATGGATGGGTCACAGCTCATGTGGCTCATGCAAAACTCTCCAGAATTTTAAATTCTGACTTGAATTGAATTTTAAATTCATCCCTCCATAAGGGGGGCAGAGGAGTCCGGGCTCTGCGCTGGAGAATTCAGCGTGGTTTGGGCAAGAGGGAGGAGAGACAGCGGTGCTGGGGAGGTGCTAAGGGGGAAAAATTCAACGCTCCCTGGCTGCTGGCACTTGCCAAGGGCTGGTGCAATAGACACGCAAGCGGTCCCACACCGTCATGAGAGATCTGTGGGATCAGGAGCTGAACCTGGCGCAGGAGGGAGGGCGGCTTTGATCAGCCCCG